TATTACTGAACACTCCCTAGCTCCTGCTATTTCTAGAGGCATTAAAAAATGCAAGACAGGTACTGGCAGGTGGGATGGTGGTTAAGGCGCTGGGACTCCCACTTGGCCGACCCTGGTTCAAGTCTCAGACCTGGCGGATTGCTTTCTTTCTTTCCCTTTCTCTCTCTCTAGTCAAATTAAACATAATAATAAAAATGATAATAAATAAAATCAAATGAATAATTATTTAAAAAATCCAAAAAACGCAAGACAGAATGTCTTACCACATTTGTAATCACATATAGCATTTAACACACAAAACTAGAAATTGTCTTTTCCCAACCCTGCTAAAATTCTGATCGTGTAATTTATATCTGACCTGTATTTCAAAGCCTGGCCCAGGGGACCAGCAGTTAGCATAATGGCTATGTCACTGGACTCCCACGTAGTCAACTGCGGTTCGAGTCCCGGACCCAGTGGCTTAAACTCATGCCGGGCGCTTGTGCATGTGTGGAGAATGGAGGAGAAGGGATTGTGGTGTGACCATCCCCCTTGGGGGGTGATTTCTCGCTTTCGGTCTCTATGTCTCTCTCTGTCTGTATGGCAAACGCACGCACACCATAGCGAAAAAACCTCTCAAAAAAAAAAATATATATATATAAATATATATACAAAGCCTTGTCCAGGGACCCTTTAGGCTGCCTCAAGGCCACACATGCCCTCTCAGGGTTCATGACGTGGCTCCTGAGGGTGGCCCCACATCACTGCCCCTGAGGCAATGATTCAGCTGCCTGCCCACGCCGAGGCTCATGCTGCTGACAGCCTCTGACTCTCTATGGGAAAGGGTGGAACCTTCCTTCCTTCCACTTGGCCCTCTCCTTTTCTCACAGACCTGCGGCTCCGTCTGCCTGGCAAGCACTGGTCCTCCTACAGTGTGGGCGCTCCTTCCCTTCTGGCACCTTCCCTTACTATGAGGCAATGCTGCTCGTCCTTTCTCAGACTTTCTTCAGGGAAATCCTCTGATTTTCCCAACCTCAAGCTGACCGGAACGTTCTGGGCTATTAAAGCTGAAGAAGATAAAGTACACTTCTCTGTGTCCTCATTTGTAGACCAGCAAACTCTGATGGCAGACATACATTAAACCTATGAGTAGGCCACAGGCAAGTAACACCATGACCTTGTTTATTTTTAGCAACAATACAATGGAAGTAAAAGGGGAAAAAAAGATGGACTGCATCTAAAAGCAAGAGATCAATTTACAGTAGGTTAATATACACGCACATGCAGCCTACTCTACAGAGCAGTGTCTTGGCACTCAGAACTCCAGCACTGGAGTCTAGGGGTCAGCATTCAGGCCTTTCCTCTTTAAAGGCTTACCAGCATGCCTTTGGTCAGGTCCTACCAAGCTAAACTCCTTTGGAAAACAACTCCGAAATCGGAAAGGCAAGTTTGGTGAAACGGAAACGTCTTATTCCCTCTGTCTTCTCATGCTGATGGGGTCACCATGCTCACAACTGTCTCCACAAATGAGACTGCTGAGCCCTGAGCACTGTTTCTTAGCCGAGGAGATGGGTCTGCGCTGAGTTACTCTAATTTTCACAGGCCTCCTGCCAGCCTAAGATACACATGGGTAAGACTGAAAGCCAGGTGCGAGGGCAGCACAACACCAACCAGCAGGGGTCCTGGGTAAAAACAGGCATGAAGGAGAACTCTAAGTGAGTCTTCACCCTGGGCCCTGTCTCCATTGTTGCGTTCCCTGGGCATAATGCAAAGAGCCCCTGTCCAGTCTCTGTTGAGTAGAGGCTTAGCTAAACAAAGAGGAAGTTCGTAAGTGATGGAGGGCTGGGAGAAGGACAGGGTGTATCTTTGAAGTGTGGAGGAGAACTGCTAGTGTCATAATTTGTCTTCTCCTGTCTTCTGGAGGTGGCAGAGGAGGAAATGCTGCTGGGAGATGGAATGGCTATGCCTTAGTCTCCACCTCCAGGGTGCACAGGCTTAGAGCAGAAAGTCCTAGAGCTCACATGCAGTCCTAGAACTCACGGCGCAGTCCTCACGCCATGGCCCACGGCCCAGCAGCAAGGCTAGTGCCTCTGGCTCCACTGTTCCCATGGGTTGGCTTCTGTGAGAGCCAGCCTGGGTTTGAGGTTGCACCAGCAGGGTGCCCTGCCCCACACTTAACATTACCAAGTGTTTACTTGAGACTCACACACAGAGGCGTAGCCATTTCAAGACAGCACTCAAGTCTCTGTGCACTCCAGGAAGAGAGCGAGCACACACCAGGCTAGGTGGGAGAGGCCAGGGACAGCAGGACGGTGAGCAGAGCTCCTAAGACGCACGCCTTCCCACTAGCAGGAAGAGCTCTACTTGGAAACTATTCCACACATGTTTTGGGGTGCCTGTTGTGTGCTATAATAAAAACAAGGGCTAGGAGTCAGCAGTTGGCATAACGGCTATGTCACTGGACTCCCATGTAGTCGACTGCAGTTCAAGTACCAGACCTGGTGGCTTAAACTCATGCCAGGCGCGTGTGCATTCGTGCCCAAGATCCAGAGAGGAGAATGGAGGAAAAGGGATTGTGGCGTGGCCATCCCCCCTTTGGGGGTGATTTCTCGCTTTCTGTCTCTATGTCTTTCTGGTGATCGCAAGCGCCCTATAGCAAAAACCTCTCTTAAAAAACAAACAAACAAACAAACAAACAAACAACAAGGGCCTCAGTTCCTCAGGGCTGTGGATTGGACTCAGGACCTTTCTTTAAAAACTCAGCACACAGAAGAGCATTTGCTGCTTCAGAACAATGGACTGTCTTCCTGACCTCTGCACCACAAATTTGACCCTGAAATTGTAAAACGAATCTGAAAACTGGTATTGGAGCCAAAGAAACAACATTAAGAGTCGTGCTTGAAAGACATGCCTGGGAGTACTTTGGGACTCCTAGAAGCTTATCAAGCACTTGCGTAGTGGGGAGGCTGAAGAAGTGGGGAGAATGAAGCCAGCAGCATTTGGGTTTTCTTTCACAAAGACTTCTAGTGTGCTACTTTGTTTAATCTTGAAAAATAACAATTTTCCAAGGAAAGATTGGCAGAAAAAGCAAATTTACAGGTTTTATGACCATCAGGGGGCAAAAAAGCCAAGATAGTGAGTGCTATCCATGAACACATTATTAATGGCTATTGAAAGATTTAGCGCTGATGCTATAATTATAAAATATGTTTCGGTATTAGAGAGAAGAACAAGGGACAGCTAAACTAAGACCATGCTCAGGAATGAGAAAAGCAACCATTTAGGGAGGCCTGCCGAGTGTTCATTTCTGATTCCCTACTTGCTAATCAGCCGTGGGCAGTGAGCAGGACATGGCTGGACGTTTTAACTGCCTCAGTCCTGGCCCCATGCTCCGTTCTTCCCATCTTGTCCCATGTTCCCTTCTGCTACATCTTCCCATGGCCACATTCCTCTAATCCTTCAAAAGCCTATTCTGAATCCCTCCAATCTTTTTATTTTTTTTTTTAAGTTTCTTTCTATCTTCTGAGAGGGAGAAATAGCAGGGGAGAGAGAGAGAGAGAGAGAGAGAGAGAGGGCCAAGTAAGAGGAGAGGCCAAGAGCAGGGATGATCTGCAAATGCTGACTGAGTCCAAGTTCACAGGTAAACTTTGACAGGTAAAAGGGAAACCAGGCTGGCCCTATAGGGCAGAGGGTAAACAGTGGGAAAAGGATCTCACGTGGCCAATCAGGATTTAATTTCTGGCCTTCGTGGCTTACACACCAGAGGAGTATGGATGTGCCCAGGACCCTGATGGGATGGAGAACTGGAGGAAAAAGGGTTGCAGCATGACCAGGCCTCTCTGAGGGTTGGTGTTTTCCCTTGATCTACCCTTGTTTTCTCTCTCTTACATCCTCTGATATAGCTTTAAAAAAAAATGAAAACAAGAAAAGCAGATACCAACCTGAGTATGTTTCTTGATCTACTGTTCAAAGATCTCAGTTTTACTAGAAGTTGAGGCTGCCTTCTCATTGTCATCATCTGATGGAAAATATTGCCATGTGCTTTAAGAAAAATAAGTAAAAATCAATCGTGAAACCTGGGGCAGTAAATATAGTAAAGGATCTGATAACATTATGCTGTTTAATCTTGAAAAATAACAATTTTCCAAGGAAAGATTGGCAGAAAAAGCAAATTTACAGGTTTTATGACCATCAGGGGGCAAAAAAGCCAAGATAGTGAGTGCTATCCATGAACACATTATTAATGGCTATTGAAAGATTTAGCGCTGATGCTATAATTATAAAATATGTTTCGGTATTAGAGAGAAGAACAAGGGACAGCTAAACTAAGACCATGCTCAGGAATGAGAAAAGCAACCATTTAGGGAGGCCTGCCGAGTGTTCATTTCTGATTCCCTACTTGCTAATCAGCCGTGGGCAGTGAGCAGGACATGGCTGGACGTTTTAACTGCCTCAGTCCTGGCCCCATGCTCCGTTCTTCCCATCTTGTCCCATGTTCCCTTCTGCTACATCTTCCCATGGCCACATTCCTCTAATCCTTCAAAAGCCTATTCTGAATCCCTCCAATCTTTTTATTTTTTTTTTTAAGTTTCTTTCTATCTTCTGAGAGGGAGAAAGAGCAGGGGAGAGAGAGAGAGAGAGAGAGAGAGAGAGGGCCAAGTAAGAGGAGAGGCCAAGAGCAGGGATGATCTGCAAATGCTGACTGAGTCCAAGTTCACAGGTAAACTTTGACAGGTAAAAGGGAAACCAGGCTGGCCCTATAGGGCAGAGGGTAAACAGTGGGAAAAGGATCTCACGTGGCCAATCAGGATTTAATTTCTGGCCTTCGTGGCTTACACACCAGAGGAGTATGGATGTGCCCAGGACCCTGATGGGATGGAGAACTGGAGGAAAAAGGGTTGCAGCATGACCAGGCCTCTCTGAGGGTTGGTGTTTTCCCTTGATCTACCCTTGTTTTCTCTCTCTTACATCCTCTGATATAGCTTTAAAAAAAAATGAAAACAAGAAAAGCAGATACCAACCTGAGTATGTTTCTTGATCTACTGTTCAAAGATCTCAGTTTTACTAGAAGTTGAGGCTGCCTTCTCATTGTCATCATCTGATGGAAAATATTGCCATGTGCTTTAAGAAAAATAAGTAAAAATCAATCGTGAAACCTGGGGCAGTAAATATAGTAAAGGATCTGATAACATTATGCCAACCAGTGGTACTAAGACGTGAAAGGCAGGAATCAGCACGCCCCACGGGAACTGACAGGACGATGAAGTGTGATGTGAATGCCCGCGGCCCTCCCTAAGGTTCTCGGAGGCCACCTCAGCAGGAGCTCTAGAGCTTTCCTCTGCCAGCTTACAGGGAAAAGCAAGTCTGATTCCAAGTAAAAGCAACTGCCTCCCAGACACTAAACTCCCTCCTGTCCTAAGACGGGGCCTGGCACCGTGGGTGTAGCTGTAGGTGTGTGTCCTGAAGCACCAGACAGGGAGAGTGATGCCTGAGGAAGTTCCCGAGCTGTCAGACTCAGAGCTCCACGAGGCACTGGTTTTCTCTTCGCTTTTTATTTTACTCTCTGTGGTCCCATTATCCAGCACAGGGCCCAGATGATGAACATATTAAAAGATAGTGCTTCTGCAGGGCGACTTGGCCTGCGTATCACAATATCATATCACATGTCTACACACGGACCTGGCCAGTGACAGCAGTCTCTGAATTAGACTACTCTGCTGTCCTGCATCGGTCAGTCACCAGCCCAGCATTCAACGAGGAGGGGCTCACGCAGGCTTCTCACTGCTCATGATGGCCTACTTCAGAGTCTCACGTGTGCGCTACCAGGAAAGTAAGCACTTCGAAAAAGATGACTCAGATTGGAATATCAAATGATAAATATTTAAAAATGTGAACCCAAGTGAAAAATGGTATACTTACTAGAATAGAGCTATCTTCTCTGATACACCTTTTATTTGTTTAATCTTCAAGAAAAGAAAGGTGGGACCAGCAGATAGCATGGAGGTTAAAGGGCCTGATCCCACACAGCCAACTGTGCTTTCTGGTTGTGGACCGGGCAGTTTAAAAAACTCACTGGGCATGTGTGCTTGTATAGCAAATCCCAAGAGGAGAGTGGAGGAAAAGGGACAGCAATGTGGCTATCTCCTCTGGGGTGCCTTTTCACTTTCTCGCTCCCCCCCAAATCTGGCAAGTGTACGCAGCCTAGAAATAAAAAATAAATAAATAAAAGAAAGAAAGAAAGAAAAGAAAAGGCAGGCAACACAGTGGAGCTGTACCTCTCCTGGACACTGAAGGGTCCACTTCAACACCTTTTTCGTAAGGAGTCCCGCCATTCAAGAAGAGTTCGTAAGTTCTATGAAAGAACAGCATACCATGATGGACACTGGAGAGACTGGCGCAGTATTTTTAGCACGACTTATTCACATACGTTTCATTTATGTCTCACTGGCAAATGAGAAAATGCAGTTGTTGATCCTTTCGTGAGGTCCCTTCTAAGCAAATGAACAGTTTCCTAGTGAGAGAAAGCTATTCCAATGGGGCATGGTGACACTACAATCCCTTGTCCTCCACTTTCTATCCTGTTGGGATCTGGGGCAAGCACCCACATGTCCCAGTGACATGTCCCAGTGTATTTTTCAAACGGTTGGGGCAAAGATATGAACCATGGTCGACAATGTGATATCCAACTCCCTTAACTTATAGGCTATGGGGCTGGCCTGCTACCTCATTATTGTTTTTAAAGAATTCTTTTATTTAAGTTTACTTATTATTATTATTCTAATATTTCCAGAGAGAGAAAGAGAGAGAGAGAGAAAGAGAGAGAAAGCCTCCAGGTCCGGGATTCAAACCATGGTCAACCAAGTGGGAGTCCAGCGTCCTTAACCACCACACCACCTGCCAGTCTCTGCTATACCTCATTTTAAAAAGTGACTTCACTCTTGGAAAAATGGTGTAGATATATTTTTTGTTATTTCTTCTCTTCAATATAACTAACCCCCCCCAAATACGTTAATAACAAAACAAACAAATTAAAAAGCAATCATGGGCAGGGGCATGGTCTGGTCACTAAGGTGGCTGGATCTCACATAGCCAACCACACAGTTCAAGTCCTGGACCCGGGTGCTTGAAAACATGCTGGGAGCATGTGCATGTGTGCCCCAAATCCCAAAAGGTGAGAGAAAGAGACAGAGGGGACGGGATTATGGCATGACCGTGCCCATTAGGGGGTGCTTCTTTACTTTCTCTATCTCCCCCTCAGTCTCTCTTGAGTTCATACATATGCCCAACAGCAAATTAAAAAAAAAAGAATCCTAAGAATTCTAGGTTTCTGTGGCCCTTCCACTTTCCTCTGAGTGAGGCCAGAGGACTGGTGGAGTCAGTACTTTGACCTCTGCCCTGTGTTAAGGAGGCCACATGGGGAGCATTATCTAAACTAATTGTCACAATAAGACCTTGAGGTAGGACTGTTTACAATCCCTCAGATTAAAGATGGGAGAAATTCTGTTTAAGACAGTAAGGGACCTGCTAATAGTTACACAGGCAGAGCTGAGACCAGAGCCCTGAATTCTCTAATTCCAAACTTGGAATCTTAATTACCACCCCACTGCCTGCCTACATCCCTTCTGTGATGTTCTGTTTATATCCTAGACTTAAATCCTTTTTACCCCCTTTTAAAATGTTCAATTTTTATTATTCATTTTCAAGAGAGTCAGAGAGGACCCTGAGACTCCACACTCAGCGTTTCTACTCTTTGAAGAGAATCGGGCTTTCTTTCAAAAATCACAGTGAAACATGCTAGTGCTATAGGAAACCACTGAAAAAGTATTCCCAGCAGGCAGCTGGTGCAAACATCTAAAATACCCACTGGAGGGGCCAGACGGTGAACTGGTGAAACAGGACACTCTGCAAGGCCATCCTCCATAGAAAGGGTCTCGATTCAAGTCCAGAGACCGCCTCAAGTACACCGAGCAGGTGCAGGCCCATGGCCTAGGGCTGGCTGGGGGCAGACTGTGATGGCAAGTCCTGGTGAGGGATGCTGTCTCTCTCTCACTCATAAGAAATGAAAAAAATATGTACCATTTAATTCTCCCTAGGATGAGACCATGCATGCCATGTGGTCGTTGGGAAAGTCATGACGTATTTTTGCATAGAAAAATGTCATGATTTTCCCGATGACCTAATATTTTCACTTTCTACCTGATACACACTAAAATCAACACTAAGGTCCTCTTCCAAAAAGCTGCTGAGATGCTCACAGAACAAACCTGAGGCGCTAGGTCCTAAAACAATTTCTACAAAGTTACGCATCTGTAAAGGACATAGAGCCCACTTACTTCGCTGGGATAGGAATTCCACTGGCATCAAACAGTTTAAGAAACACCCAGCCACAGCTTAACTCTCCTCTCTCCCCAGTTGACTAGAAAATAAAACAAGCACATGAAACTCAGTGTCTGAACCAGTCAAATCTATAAGCACGTACCAAATCATTTTAAAAGGGACAAAATTAGTATTTACCTTGAAAACTAAAAAGTTCTTCACAAGAAAATTAAATGGTACCGTCCCATTTATCTTTCAGGCCAGATAGTAAAGGTATTATGTAAAGTAAAAATCCTATCTTATCACAATTCCTCTGGAAAAATCTCTTAAACCTGTTGATGTGGTTACAGTTGCTATTGTCTCCTGAGTGATATAAACATTCAGTGGAATGATATCAAATCACTTCAAAAGTTCATGGAATTATGAAGCTTTGTCTTACTGGAAGATGGAATGCAGGAATGAATCATTCACTCATGGGCCTGCGGCTCGGAACTGTGTCCCCACTGTCAACTGCCAGTGGTCACCAGGGCTCACACAGGGGACCTGCTCCTCTCCCTTGTCATACCCACCTGCAACCGTATGCATGCACCTGCCTTAAAGAAATGGCGTAATACCATTAATGCTACCTCCCTGTAACGGCCCATGGGTTACTGCAAGGCCAACTATATACACCGCACCTCCCAAGCTATTACTAGAATGTAGGGACATTTAATTACTAGCACAGATCTACACCTAGTTCAATAGTTTACATGACATAAGTTGCCCAAGTTTCTTGTGTTTCCATTATAAGTTTTACCACTTTACCAGGTCCCTAATTAGAACCCTCAGGTCTAAGGATAAATGTGTCCTGCCTCTCAACACAGGTGAGTCACTGTGCCAAAATGCCATTGAGCACCTGTGACTACTTTCTGCAGTCACATCCTTTTTGAATTTTTATTCTTTAAAAGTACTAGAGCTCACTTAAGCTACAAATGTATTTATGTTAAATGCTACTGAAAAAGTAGCACTACATTATAAAATTAGAATCAGTGCCATTCTCTTTGCTCAAGGGATTAAAATCCTGTTAACATAAAAACCGCAACTAGTTTACTTGTAAATACAGACATTTTTAAAATTCCCCTTTTAACTGAGACATCAGAAAGCTTTATCTTTCAGCTGACATACATTGCGAATATAAGAAATTCCAAGTTCAAATAATATCCCAAGATCTGGAATCGAAGAATTGGACCTGATAAAAAAATCACCATCAAGCAAACATGGCAAGATGCCAGTAACCTGAAATGAAAAAGAAAGTAAAGTCATTGATAAGTATAAAAAATGAGAAGGTTTCAGCCCTATTCATCTGCAAATGGCTTCTGCATTATAACGAAGGTCTTTTCAGAAAAACAAAAAGCGGATGGATTAAATTCATCTATACTGATGATTTGAAATAAAAATCTATCTTCTTTGTTAAAGGGAGAGCCCTTTATTCCCATCTACTCTTTGTGGAGGCTGATATGAACAAAGTCCTGTACCTAGGTCCCCAGAGGTGTTACACAAAGCAGACGGTGGGGCCAGAAGGTGTGGTGGTTAAGGCGCTGGGTTCCCACATGGCCAACCACAGTTTGAGTCCCAGACCCAGAGTTTTGAAAAAAATCACGCCAGGCGCATGTATGTGGATGCCTAGAATTTGGAGAAGAGAATGGAGGAGAAGGGATTATGGCATGGCCATCTTGAGAGATGATTTCTCACTTTCCCTCTCTTTCTGTCTCTCTGCAGTGGAATGCATATGCCCTACAGCAAAAACCTAAAAAGAGAGAGAAAAAAAAAAGAAAGCAGATGGCATACACTACAGATTATACAGATTATTTTCATTGTTCCTTGTAAAGAGAAGTAAATTGAAGACTGAACACAACTGCTCAGCGGTTTCCTGATGCATGCCTTGTACATTTTCCTTTCTAGAGTGGTGGAAAGGAGCACATAAATAATCACATCCCCCTTTCAGGTCTGTGAATCCTACCCCCTCCTTAAGGTCTAGCTTCTCTCCTACAAAACCTTCCCTGAGCCTCAAGACTCAAATTCATTTTATTCCCTCTGTACTTCCAAGGCACTTGGAGCACCATGACCCTTAAAATCTCCCTGAGCGACAGTAGTTACAGTGTCCCCAATCCCTAAGGATTAAGTAATGCATGCAAGGGCCCAAAACAGGGCCCTGGTTAGAGCTCCCTAAATAGAGGATATGATTATTATTTGCATAAGAACTACTAATCTAATGACATTTAAGTTCCCACAAACCTAGGAAGAATGACTTGCACATAAGACAATCTTTTTTCTTTTGTTTGCCAGAGGGTGTGTGCATTCACCAAGGGGCCTGGCCATGTGACAATTATGCACATATCCCCAACATGTTTTTCAAGCCACTGGGTTCAGGATTTGAACCACTTGGTAAATTATGTGGCACCTAGCACCCTTAACCATTAGGCCATGGGCCAGCCTAATCTCACTCAACAAAGCAACTCATAGTTTAATATAATTCATACTTCCCAGCAGTTTCTCATTTTATTACAGAAAAAAAAATCAGAAAAATTCTACCCTAAACATCTCACAAACAAAGAAATGCAATATCAGAATTGTGAAGTGTGTCAAGATGGCAGTGTTTCTCCCTAGAGGCAGGGTGGTTATAAGATCAAAACTGGGGACCAGCATATGGTGCAATGGTTAGGTTGCTAGACTCCCACAGTTGACCACAGTTCGAATCCCAGACCTGGCAGCTTAAAGCTCACACTCATGCTGCGTGTGTGTGCACATGCGTGCCCATCCCCTCTGGGGGAGTGATTTCTCGCTTTGTATCTGTCTCTTTGGTGAGCGCACACACCCTATAGCAAAAAATCTCTCTCTCAAAAAAAAAAAAAAAAAAATCAAAACTGGACCTTTTAAGAGTGGTGTTGACAGCCAAGTGGGGATGTGCCCAGCACTTGGCGAGGGGGCTGGGCCTCACACCCAGCTGGAGCCCTCTTGCTGGGTCTCCATCTTCCTTTAAGTTCTGAAGAAATAAGAGGAAGGGTAATTAATGGTTTTTAGGATACAGTAACAGCAGTGAATTGGATGTGGGAGAAGCAAATACTAAAGTAATGAAATCTCAGAGGTAGGAAATAAGTAAAATAAAATAATGTTCAGGCAATATCATAAAAAGAACATAAAACCATCTTCGTCTGTGTATTTAATACTGACTCTGGTTTGAAACCACCTAACCTAATTCCAGGCTTGACAGTGACTGGTGTAAGGCACCAGGCCCCCAGGCGTCACCTATGACTTCAGCTGAAGAAAGCACAGCTCTCATGGTCACAGTTGGAAAATTTCATTTTTGAAAAACACCCTACTTTCTATATTTTATCTTTTGTATTCGTTTTCATCAAGTGGGTATTTTCTAAAAGTGAATCCAGATATTCATCAAATGAGATGATTCAGTGGAATTGTAACATTGGTGAGTCAGAAACATGAGTAATTCTTAGCAAAATCTTCAAGGAACATTAAAAAATCTAAAGATTTAAATCTGGTTCCATATATTATGTGCTAAATATAAACAAACTACAGTTTGACAGCCTTACTTCAGACATGAATTGCTTGACACTTACTAGGTAAAAGAAGTTCAGTTTTCATCCTGTTCACTCAGCTGATTACCTACCTGGGGGGAGAAGGTCCACGTCTTGGGCTTTTTAGGTTGCCATGTGGCTCTGACTGTATGAATGTTGCTCAGAACCTGCAATGACATTTTCTCATTTGAAATCATGCTGTAGAAAGTTCATCAAAACATCACCTCTTTTAGTCCCAAGCAGTTAGCAGTGGCTACACTGTGGGGAGCAGATAGGAAGGGGGAAGCTTTTGGTCTGGCCCTGTAGTATAGTGGCTAAGTGCTGTGCCCAGGCAGCTGGATTCCACATGGGTGACTGTGGTTCAAATCCCAGCCTGAGAGGCTTGAAAAACATTCCAAGTGCCCTCAAAATCCTCATACAATGGAGAAATGGAGGAAAAAAGATTTTGGCCTGACCATGCCACATTGTGGGGGAAGCTAAGCACACATGGCAATTAAAACAAAAGGGGTCGAGGAACTTCTTTTAATTCTGTAATGTTTGTTTTTCATTTATTTAAAGTTTTTAAAATTATTTTTTAAACTATTTTTTATTTATTAATATCTTCCATGAGACAGAGAGACTGAACCCCTTGGAGGATCTTGATGCTGCAATCCACCCCCGGCGTAAGCCAGTCACAGATTGCAAATCAATCCCACATGGGAAGGTTCCCAGTTCAAGTTCAGAGCCCTCCCTGAGTATGCTGGGCACAAGCTTACTCATGATCCAGGGCTGGCTACAGGCTGGGGTTGGACTGCAGTGTCCAGGCCCTTTTGGGGATGCTGTTTCTCTCATGCTCAGTCTTGCTCATGGAGGAAATACTTTAAAAATAGAATAGGGATACTCAAAAGTAAGATGACTATCTCAATGGGTCATAAGTTGAAAAGAAAAGCAAAGAAGGAGATGCTGAAACCAGTTTCCTGGGCTCTGAGTCTGGATGGGGCACATGGGAGCAAGCAGCTAAATGTGTATGCTATAGAGTGGAACTTGGAAAACAAAATTGCAACAACTGGGAGAAACAAAAGAAGCAAAAAAAAAAAGGGTATCATAAACAGGAAATAAATACTCATATAAATAAGGGAAATAAATCCAAATACATAGGTTAATTATAGTAAGTGGAGTTAGTGTAACATTATGTATGTATCCCAATATAGACAATCCAGAAAAAAGAAAATTAAAAGCCTGTTTCACTTATAAACAATAATGCAAAATTCCTAAAAAAATACCAGTGAATCTAATTTGGCAATGTGTTGTCTTAAAACAGAAAGTTTATGATCAAGAAGCATTTATCCCAGGAATAGAAAAATATTTTGATAACAGGAATCTATTAATGCAATATACCATATAAACAAATTCAAAGAGAAAAAACTATACAATCATCTCAATAGATGCAGAAAAGAACTGGATAAAATGCAACATTCCCTTATAATGTGAAAACTTAGAAGAAAATTAACCTAAGGAACGATGTCTATCAAAAACCTTCAACAAATGTCTCAGCAGTGAATGTTTAGAAGCATTCACATTTCAACTGGAAAGAAGACAAATCAGTCCCTACTGGCAGTTCCTGACCAAAACAATAAGACAAGAAAAAAATGTGGTACATAAGTGGGAGAGATAAAAATGTCTTTTATGCAAATAATACAGCTGTATACATGAAAAACCAAGAGATTCTATAAGTTTAAATAATACTTTATTGTGGGCTGGCAGGTGGCATGGTAGCTAAGACACTGGACACCCACATAGCCGACTGCTATTCGAGTCTTGATGGCTTGCTTTCTCACTTTCCCTTTCTCTCTCTGGGAATGAAAAACAATAATAACAACAAATGAAATTTAATAAATAAGTAATTCTTTAAAAAATAATAAGACTTTATTATAAAAGTATTAGAAATAATAAGAGATTTCAGTATAATTTTTGAACACATGATCAAATTCCAAACAATGGTAGCTTTCTCTGCATCAATGATAATCAATTAGAAAATGTAAGAGGAAAAAAGTTCCAAAGCTATAAAACCTATCTAATTTTTTAGATAGGGTGGGAGGGTAGATAGAGAAACAAGTTAAATGATAATATGAGTAAGAAACTAGACAAATCCTCCATAACTGTACTGTAATACAATAGCATTTAGCCACAAGAGCCTATTTAAATTTTAAATCACTTAAAATTATATTAAAATTAAAGTTTAGTTCTTCAGTCGTGCAGTTAATATTTTGATAGCATAGACTATCAATATTTCCATTATTGCAGGAAGTTCTATTGCCAGTGCTACTTCAGACATTCTACATGACAACTAACCCAATTTTTCTCAGCAAATCAACAGCAGGACAAAGAGAAGGCAGAAGGGGCACTGCCAGAGTAAAAGAGATTTAAGGTACATGTTGACCAACCGTGACATGTGGACCTTGTATAGATTCTGATTCAAACAATCCAACTATAAAAATACATATTTTGAGACAACAGGGAAATCTGAATAGGGGTTATAAAATGAACACATGGAATGAGATGATAATGATGGCTATGTAAGAATAGTGGTTAGATGCTAAAATGTTGATAAAATACAGATATCAACATTTTAGATTATGTTATACAACTATAGATACATACATGCAGGAAATGTCATCAAAAGTGAGTGAATGTTTGAAAATTTTCATGAAAAAGTTTTGATTTTTAAATTGAAGTCAAGGACAGACTAGAAATAGCCATGTTAAAATATTACACGAAAATGACTTCACGTTTTACTAAATATAAACTCACAATTTCAGTGTGTTATTAAATATTGGGTCTTTGGAAAAATCATGACGCAGTTTTGCATAGCAAAACAAAAAACTGTGTTCTGACTTTCCCAGCGACCCACTAATCTTTTGGTGGCGTGACCAGCATTGGCCAGCGGAACTGCAGTGAAGTGTTCGGACAGAATGGACACGTTCTGTGTCTGTGTGTCTAGTGTGGCAGCCTTTGGCCACATGGAACTTACTAGCATTTGAAATGCAGTTAATAACCTTTATTGACTCGGGAAACAAACACAAAATTCTGAATAAAATTACTTAGAAACTGCCCCCAAAAAGAAAAAGGAAATTAACTTTTTTGGCCAGAGGATACATGTGCCTGCTGGAGTGAGCCAGTGGAGAGGGGGACAGTGAGAAAGCACTCGCATGACGGATGGCCACAACACCATCCCTTTGCCATCATTTCTCCTTTTGGAATTTTGGGCATGTGTACCCATGTGCCTGGAGTGTTTCTCAAGCTGCTGGGTCTGAGACCTGAATAGCAGAGTTGGCCAGGTGAGATCCAGTTGCCTTCACCATCATGCCATGGGCTAGCCCAATGAAAGGAAGCTTAAAAAAGATTTTTCAAGTTTGCTTACTTATTTGTTGAAGTTTCTTTCTTTCCTTCTTCTCCTTCTGAGAGAGAGAGAAAAAAAAAATAACCCCAGCAAGGTCTCACACTATGATCCCCACCCTAACTTTGCCAGGCAGCCAAGACCATGAGTATGTGCACCCAGTATGAACAGGTAGACCCGGAATGGAACTCAGTTTTCCACATAAATCCAGCATCATGTAAGCAGTATGCTACTACTGGATCACCAAGCCAGCCCAAATTTTAAACTTTTAGTTAATATAAATTATAGTTCATTAATTAAATTTAAATAGCTACATGCAGCTAGTAGATAATGGCATTCACACTGAAGACTAACTTCAATTTTAGGCAATAATATTTGCCTAAAAATGTTTTTAAAAATCAAGGTAGCTAAACTTTAGTGTGATAAAAGGTATGTAAGACTTTTATTTATTTATTTTTTTTTTGAGAGAGAGATTTTTGATATAGGGCAAGTGTGCTCACAGAGACACATAGACAGAGAGACAGAAAGCAAGACATCACCTCTGAGGAGGATGGCCATGCCGCAATCTCTTCTTCTTGGTATTTTGGGCATGCATGCACATGTTCCCAGTGTGAGTTCTATGCTGCTGGGCCTGGGACTTGAACCTCAGTCAACTACATGGGAGTCCAGCATTGTAACCACTATGCCATTCACTGGTCCCACTATGCAAGACTTTTACAGAAAAAATTATGAAATATTATGATAAAATAAAAATGAAAACCAAATTGAGTGGAGAAATCTTTTTTTTTTTTTTTTTTGGAGAGATTTTCACTATAGGGCATGTGTGCTCGCCAGACAGAGAGAGACAGAGAGACAGAAAGCAAGAAATCACCCCCCAGGGGGGATGGCCATGCCGCAATCCCTTCTCCTCTCGGGATCTTGGGCACATATGCACACACGCCCAGCGTGAGTTTTAAGCCACTGGGTCCAGGACACGAACCGCAGTCGACTATGTGGGAATCCAGCGACATAGCCATTATGCTAACTGCTGGTTCCCAAGTGGATAAATCTTACCATATGTTTAGCAGCAAAAGATTTCATAAATACTCTACTAAAATTAACCTATACATTCAATGTAATTTTGCTGAAAATCCCAATAGAGCTCATGGAATTTAACAAGCTGATGCTAAAATTTATATAGAAGGGGCCAGCAGGTGGAGTGGTGGTTGAGGCACTGGACTCCACATGGCCGACTGCAGTTTGAGTCCCAGATCTGGCAGCTTGTTTTCTCACTTTCCGTTTGTCTCTCTGGTCAAATTAAATAATTTGGTCAGTCATGTGGGAATCTAGTGCCTTAATCACTATGCCACCTTCTGGCCCCAATTCCATTAAAAAAAAAAAAAGACTAGAATTACATATTACCAACTGGTAGGCTTCAATAAGACTAGGTGAAAAGGTCACGAGTGTCTGTAATATTACTGCTTTTGTGCATTTGAAATAGTTCCTAATTTTAAAAATATTGATGATCCCAATAACAAATCAGATTGGAGTATAAAATAGATAGTGAAAGGAGTAAACAAATTGGAAAACAGCAATGTCCCAAGATAGAAAAGATTCTAAGTGTGGGATTTAGATTTGCCTTCTTTCTCTTACTAACGACAAAATATACTGATACTTAGTTGACATGTTATTAATAAATACTTATGGATTTCAAATAACTTTTAAAAGGGTAAAACATATAACACCAGTTAGTCATGAAATACATGGAACACACCAGGAAAGTTGAAGGAACGGTGCTCATCGGCTCGGTTC